GGAGGGGAGGGGGCGGCACTGCCTGACCAAGCTCTGGGCAGACACCAGCCCCACCCTGAGCTGGCTTGTAGGAGGAAGCAGCCCGGCGCCCCACCTCCCAGGCCAGAGTGCTCTGCACGCCCCGCTCAGCAACAGTCTTGCCCAATTCTGGCCTGAGTGTATGTCCTAACGTCAACCACAAGACAGCCCGTGCACTTACAGTAAGTGGAAGAGTTACTGCAGGGAGCGTGGTGGGCGGGGGAAGGGGGTGTCCCACCACCACAGGCCCCAGGAACACACCTGAAAAATCTCCGATTGCCCTGAACACACAGCAGCAGCACAGACCGACCCAAAGGGGCCTCAGTTCATTCTGCAGTGCTGAGCGCTCCTGCCCCTTGAGGCTGACAGTCTTCAGGACGGGGCGGGGAGACCAGCCAACCCCTGTCTCAGGTGCTGTGAAGCTAGAATGGGGACCCAGCCTCGGCAGAGAGCTCAGGGAAATCCTGGGAGGGACGCTGGGGCCCAGGCATGAGGAGTGGCAAACAGCACATGCAAAGGCCGGGAAGCAGAGGCTCTCAGTTCAGAGGAACTGAAAGAAACCTGGTGCCAGAGAGCTGTGGCTGTGTTGGGGGCCAAGCTTCCTGCCAGGCTAGCAGACCAGGAGGCCTCTCAGACCCGGGAGTGGCCTCCGAGCCGCTGCCCCAACAGTCCGCTGAAGGCACTGCAGGAAGGTGTTCAGAGAAGCAAAGAAAGAGGGCTTGGCAGGAAGGGGCCACCCCCGTGGCCAGTCTGGGGGAGAGGATAGAGTGGACAGAGGCAGCTCACATGACGGCAGGCAGAGGTTCCGCAGCAGCTGCAGGGAGGACCCCCGGCAGCCTCGGGCTCACTGGAGGAACTGGACAGGGAGGGGCCATCTGTGCAGGGCTCAAAAGAAAAAAGGCATTCTGTTTTTCTTTGTATTATACAGATCCACAATTAAACACAAGGTACTAGAAAAGACATGTGGCCGGGCACGGTGGCTCACCCCCCTGTAATCCCAGCACTTTGGGAGGCTGAGGCAGGAGCTAACTTGAGGCCAGGAGTTAGGTACCAGCCCGGCCAACATGGTGAAACTCCGTCTCTACTAAAAATACAAAAATTAGCCGGGCATGGTGGCAGGCACCTGTAATCCCAGCTACTCAGGAGGCTGAAGCAGGAGGATCCCTCAAACCTGGGAGTTGGAAGTTGCAGTGAGCTAAGATCGCACCACTGCATTCCAGGCTGGGTGACAGAGCAAGATTCCATCTCAAACGAAAAAAAAAAAAAAAGAAAAGACATTCATTAATATTGATGTGACCGGGTGCAGTGGCTCACGTCTGTAATCCCAGCACTTTGGGAGGCCGAGGCAGGCGGATCACAAGGTCAGGAGATCGAGACCATGGTGAAACCCTGTCTCTACTAAAAATACAAAAAATTAGCCGGGCATGGTGGTGGGCGCCTGTAGTCCCAGCTACTCGGGAGGCTGAGGCAGGAGAATGATGTGAACCCAGGAGGTGGAGCTTGCAGTGAGCCAAGATTGCGCCACTGCACTCCAGCCTGGGCAACAGAGCAAGACTCCATTTCAAAACAAATATATATATATGCAAACTTCCAAAGGAAATACTCATTTTGAAATTCTGAATGAGAAAGGTTGAGTTTGCTTTTTGATACTCGGTTTTACACATGACATTCTTTGTTATTTGTTTGTGGAGATGGAGTCTCCCTATGCTGCCCAGGCTGGTCTCAAACTCCTGGCCTCGAACAATCCACCCACCTCAGCCTCCTAAAGTCTTGGGATTCCAGGTGTGAGCCACCACAGCCGGTCTTGCCAGGGATTCCTGATGAGGCGTCTGATGCTGATTCTTCATGGCGGCTCCTCTAAGTCTCCCTAAAACTCTGCTGAGTGCAGTTGTCCACACAACAGGCACTAGGAACAAAAGAAAACAAGACAGATCAGGGAATGGTGCTGTTCTCACCAGCCATGGCTGCAGATGTGGCATCACGTACCTGTTGCCTCAGCAGAGAGGCTCACTGGTGACCACAATGCGCAGATGCGATCTTGTCAACCTAGCGCTCCCCTCTCTCTTCTGACATCCTGGAGAAGAGGCGTCCAGGACTTCCCATCCCTCTAAGCCTTCTCATGGCAAGTTATTCCACAGTGACTTTCTTTTACCAGTTCTCAATTTTATTTAGGATTCAAATTAACACCAACCAAACGTATCACTAAATCACTTATTTTCACGTTTTCAAAGTTGGATTGCGCTGCAAATCCATACATTTGTGCTCACTACACATTATTTTTTTATTACATTCATTGAGAGGCTCCAAAACATCAGTCCAATAAACATTTTTCCAGTCCGATAACCATCCTTCATAAGAACTAAGAGGTAAAATTATTCACACAGCTCTTTTTTCCCTTTGATCCTTAGCTCATAAGCTTTTGAGCAAACGCCAATGTTTTTGCCAGTTCGTGTTGTCTGTGCCTTATCACAGGTCACATGTCTACAGAACACGGTATTCAATGACTTTGCTTCCTTGGTCCCAAGCAAAGGTGTAGACAGATTCCATAGTTTGGTAAAATGAGTGAGTCTGCAACTGTGGAAGGCATTTTGTTTTTAGCAATGAATCGCATTACATTGTACCTAACTTCTCAAGCACAATCTGATATTAGGATGATGAAGATAATTCTTAAAAACTCTTTATACCAGATTATTTTTAAAAATCCACATACTTTTCTACTTAACATAGATGTTGTAGGGTGAAGAGCCTATGAGGCTTGTTTGGCACTCCTGCTTCATTTATTAATTTCTCCATGCAAACAGGACATTTAGGCTGAGAAAGAGAACCAGCAAAAATCCAGATGAGCTGGGCACAGTGGTTCATGCCTGTAATCCCAGAACTTAGGGAGGCAGAGGTGGGAGGAGGGAGGAGTGCTTGAGCCCAGGGGTTCAAGACTAGCCTGGGCAACATAGCAAGACTGTTCTCCACAAAAAGGGAGAAAAAAAAGCCTGGGCAACATAGCAAGACTGTTCTCTACAAAAAGGGAGAAAAAAAATCCATATGAATCCAAATTTGAGGCAGGTGCTATATTGCCTAATTAGTGGCCATTTGGGTTTTTTGACCAGTGGTTTTGTGAGTTTGATGATATTCTGGACTTAGTAAAAATGTGAGAAAGTAAATAACTGTAAAAATTAAATGGATTCCTGGACAGTGGGAAAAACGGGGCAATCTCAATAGGCCTGTGGTTTAGTTAACAGCAATGCAACAGTGTTAATTTCTTTGTTTTGATGTTGACATGGGGGAAGGCGAGGGTCCATGGAAACCCTGTACCATCTCTGCAACTCTTCTGCAAATCAAAAATTACTTCAAAATAAAAAGGTACACAACTAAATTATTAAAAATAAACTACTCAAGGATACTGCAAAGGCTTTATGGGCTCAGAAAGTGGATAAGAGAAATATGAAGGCCTCTGAAATCTTCAAAATTTTTTAAAACAAATTCCACTGAAAAACTCAAAAAATGAAGTACGCGGCTTACAAAAATAGAAAAAATGAAAATACTTTAATTCATTAAAACTCTGAAAAAATTCAAGTACAAATGACTTGCTCTCATAAGTTCTTTTGTTTAAACTGATTTTCTGAAGCCCCAAAGGCATATAATCTGCTTTAATGAATTCATTTAATAAACTATTTTAAATTAGGTTCAATTGTTGTTTTGAAAATAAATGTTAAACATTTATTCAGCACAAAGTGGTCTATTAAAAAAAATTTTAAAATAGGCTAGGCGCAGTGGCTCACCCCTGTAATCCCTGCACTTTGGGAGGCTGAGGTGGGTGGATCACAAGGTCAGGAGTTCAAGACAAGCCTGACCAACATGGTAAAACTCCGCCTCTACTGAAAATACCAAAAAAATATTTAGCTGGGCATGGTGGCGTGTGCCTGTAATCCCAGCTACTCAGGAGGCTGAGGCAGGAGAATCGCTTGAACCTGGGAGGCGGAGGTTGCAGTGAGCCGAGATCCGGCCACTGGCCTGGGCGACTCCGTCTCAAAAAAAAAAAAAAAAGGGCCGGGCGCAGTGGCTCACGCCTGTAATTCCAGCACTTTGGGAGGCTGAGGCGGGCGGATCACAAGGTCAGGAGCTCTAGACCATCCTGGCTAACATGGTGAAACCCCGTCTCTACTAAAAACACAAAAAAATTAGCCGGGCTTGGTGGTGCATGCCTGTAGTCCCAGCTACTCGGGAGGCTGAGGCAGGAAAATGGCGGGAGCCTGGGAGGGGGAGCTTGCGGTGAGCCGAGATCGCGCCACTGCACTCCAGCCCGGGGGGACAGAGTGAGACTCCGTCTCAAAAAAAAAAAAAAAACACTATTTTTTTTTTTTTTTTTTTTTAACAAAGAATGGCTACTCCATAGGCAGAGCAGCCACTTTTGGCTAATTTTTAACATCCAAAGCTAATAAATAATCAAGAAGAAATAGAGAACATTAACAAAATAAATTATGTTCTATTTGGGAATGCCTAATATCAGATAATAAGTATAGTGATAAGAATAAAAAAGATAATAATCACACATACCTTCTAGGTTAGAAAAGTTAGGAAAAGAGATTAAATTTAAAGAAACAACATTTTGCATGCACACAAAAAACAAAGAACTTCGCTCATGATGTGGAAATCATGAGCCAGCAGCAATCCGTCTTCCTGGTCCAGATCACTGCAAGGCCAGGGTGGGGCCCCCCGGGGCAGCCACGCAGAACCTACTGGACTTAACTCGCCAGAAAAGTCACCACCCAGTTCAGGAAGTTTGCAGAGGGAAACCTACAAATGGTCCTCGGATATGACTTCCCTGCTCCTGGAGGGCTCCCTCTGGAAGAGGCTTGCAGCATTCCAGTCATAGAATGTGGGTGAGCACTGCAGCGGGCAGCCTCCCACACCTGCTTGGCTGTAGGCCCAGGAAGCCCCCGGAGGCCCCTGGCTGAAGAGATCAGACTCAGCTTGGAGCCCTGGAGTTGATGCAGCAAGACCATGTTTAATGAACACCAAAGCTGGCGGTACAGATGAGGGCCTTGGGGACTCAGGCGGGGGCCTGGAGGGCTGCGGCGGGCTGTGAGATGAGTGGCGACTTCCCTCCCATACCTCTCCCGGAGAGAGGGATTCACCCTGTCCCCCTGTGAGCCTCTCAACAGTCCTGTGAGGAGGACAGCAGGGCATGGGGACTGGCCCCATTTCACAGTTGGGGAAACTGAGTTCCAGATGGGTTTGTCAGCTTGCCCAAAGCCACGCAGAGTTCCCGGTCCTTCCTCCTGCACCACTGTGGGCCCAGTCAGAGGCTACGTGAGCAGATGGTCAGGGGAGGCTGAAGCCTCATGGGAGGAGCAGGCAACGGTGTGGGGATGGACAGTGGCACGGTGCAGGGGACTCCAAGTGGCACTGGCTGGAGACCAGCAGGGACGGAAGTAGGGGCAGGACTGCTAGTACCTGTATCTGTGACCCAGGCCTCCATGGTCCCAGAACAGCCACTCGGGCCTCCACTTCTCCCTTCTCCCCTCCGTGGTGGCCAGACCCTCAATACCAGCTGAAGGAGGTCACAGGGCACGGAGGGAGGTCACAAGGCAGGGGGCTGCCCCCTACAGTGCCCAGAGGCAAGGCCTCCCTTGGCACCTACCTGTGTCTGGCCAGTGCAGGGCTTAGGCAGGGCAGGGGCCCAGGGGCCCAAAGGCTGTAAGATGAGAGAAAACCCTGACATGTGGCCAGCCACAGCACCACAAGAAGGACAGAGGGGGGACATGCATCCATGCAAGGTGGCCAAGGAGGTGCTGGGTGGCCAGGGCCTGGGGAGGGCGCAGGGCCTGGTGCAGAGAAGCAGCTGGGGATGAACTGAGATGAGCATGCCACAAAGAGGGGCTTGGGCGTGACCTTGGGCCCCAGGTCACTGCAATGACAAAGAGGTGAAATGGGCAGCTGCAGAGGCTACAAGAACTCAAGGAGGCCTGGGCTGGAACGGAGGGGGGCTGAGAAGTCCCCTGGGTCCAGGCTTCTCTGGGCAGACCCCTGGAAATCGAGCTTGCTGGTCTGGGTCGGTCCCTGAGGGCCTCTCCCGGGGCCACCTCTTCAGATGGGAACACGCAGGGAGGCCCAGCAAAAGCTTCAGGCTCTGCAGAAACACAAGGACATGTGACATTCCCTCCAGCTCCCACCCTCCCTGGGGGTGGAGCCCAGCACAAATCCCACCCTCCTCCTCCCACCCAGCAGCTCCCAAACGCAGCCCAGGGGAGCCTCAGAGCCGGCCAAGCAGGGTTACTGAGAGAGGTGGCCCAGGAGGCCTGGGGAGGGAACTGGGGCAAAGGCCCGGGACAGGAGGTGGGGTCTGCCAGGGGGCAGGCCCAAGGGTGCCAGTCTCTTCTCAGGATGTACTCTGGGATTCAGTCGCCAGTCAGCCAGGCTGCAGGGCCCTGCTCGGGAGGGTGCGATGCTACGCGGCACCAGCAGGGGGCACCACAAGCCCACCCTCCGCTGCACGTTCCCGCTGCCATTCCACTCCCACCCCAGGGGCTCAGGCTGCATAGAGAAGCTCAGGGGCAGCAAGACCCAGACACTCCCACGGCCTTGGGCTAAGGAAGCCTCCAAGGAGGAGGAAGGTACTTCCTATGCCAGCTCTGGGTGGGGCTGGGGGCACTGCAGCCCCTCCAGCTCTGACCCAGATGCAGGTGGACTGGGGAAGCCCAGCCCAAACCCCAGGTAGAGGCAGCAGCAGGTCCAGGCAACGCCAGGCTCGGCCACGGGGCCCTGCTGTCCCCCAACCCTGCCCACCACGTGGGGGGTCTCATCTGCTCTCTGCTGCCCAAGGCGGCAGCCCAGCCTTGGCCCACCACCCCACCGCGGCTCAGTCACCGTGGCACAGGCTGTCACTGGGTGTCAGGGTCCTGGAAGCCCCAGGCCTCCACAGCAGCGATGAGGAAGTTCTCAGAGCAGAGGGGCTGGTTGTTGAAGGTGTCACAGTGGCTTGTGCGGCCCCGGTTCAGGTCCCCATCAATGTAGAGCGCCTGGCCACCTCCTCCCCCTGCAGGATGCTCAGGTCAGTTGCGGCCTGACTGCCCCATCAGCACTGCCCCAGGCACCTCACCTGCTGTCCCAGCTGTCCTGCCCTGCACGGGCCTCTCTGAAACCGCACAGACCCTTGACCCTCCATAGCCCCCAGGACTAGCTGTCCAGGCTGGTCGCTCCCTCCCAGCTCCCTCTCACCCATCGTGCCTGGTCCACCCCGACACCCAGGGCCTCTTCTCTGCCACCCCGGTCAGGGAGGGCTGGGTGCAGCAGCTTCAGCTGCCCGGACCCCCACACCCTCATCCCAGGGCCCCGTCTGCTGGCACTCACCCACGATGAGGCAGTCGCTGCCCCCCGCCATGAACATGGACTCGGTCTTGGAGGGCAGGTTGAAGTGGCGAGCGGCCAGGAAGGGCGAGAGGCGGTCGGCAGGGTCTGAGGAGGCGGAGTGGCTGAGCGGGGCGGTGGGCTCGGCAGCCGTCAAGGGTGGGGGCTTGGTCAGCTCAGGGTGCTTGATCACCACCCACTCGTAGCGCTGCACCTCAGGCTGCAGCTGGGGTGGAAGCAGAGCATGAGGAGCTGGTGCAGGCACTTGCAGGACCCTCTGCCCCAGAGCCACAGCCTGTTTCATCCCACGAATCTGCACCCAGAGCCCAAGGTGGGTGCAGCCCGAGCCAGGGGCTGGGGAGGTGGTGGCTCGAGCAGATAAGCCCCCCTGCCTCGGAGCAGCGCGCGGCTGAAAGATCAAACCCGAAGCACACATGGCGATGATGCTGCTGGGTGACTGCCATGGTGACATCAAACAGTGTCCCCAGGGCAGGCGGGTGCTCCCAGAGCAATGCAGCTACAGGGTCTGCATGGGGGTTGGGGGGCACTTGGCCCCACTCACCCTAAAGACAAAGCATTCTCCGGTCCCAAAGAAGCCCAGTTTGCCTCCAAACTTATTTCTCTCACTCCAGTCTGTGGACAGGTAAGCACCACACACCTGGGGGAAAGGTCTGGGTGAGGCTGTGCCCACAGGCCCCCAGGAGCGTCTCTGTGCTCCAGCCTACTCCAGCCCCACCAAGTCACAGGTGGGGGTGCAGGCATTGCCGTCTCCCACCCCCACCCCAGGGCAGGGGTTGTGTAGGCAAGGCAGCATGCGTGCACCCTGCCCCTGGCTTGGGGCTGGCAATAAGGGTGGGTGGGGGCTGTGTTGGGGACAGTCTTACTTCCCCTTGTGACCCCGAGCGTGGGATGAGCCCCATGTGCTGGCCACACCCACGCTCTAACTCTGGCTCCCGCCCAGGAGGCCTAGGCTCCGGAGCCCATCAGAGCCAGCCCTGGCTCCCGGGTCCGTGCTCACCTCCTTCTGCGTGGTCTTGATGAGCAAGAGGGTAGGCTCATGTCCTTCACACTGGAAGTAGAACCTGGCGTAGAGACACGCATGCCAGCTGTCACCCTGCACACCCTCCCAGCTGCCTCCTGCAGCCTCCACTGGCCCCACCTGTCTTGGGGTGGAAGACCTAGGAACTGTGCTTCCTTCTCTCTGGGTCCCGACAACACCCTCACCCAGGTGTTCTTCTCACCTGGCCCTTTTCTGCCATCCCCAGGACAGCCTGCCCTGGAGTGACTCAGGGGAGAGGCCTGCAGCGGAAGGCCCCGGTGCAGAGCCAAGCGCCAGGGGCTGGGGAAGTAGGAACCAGAGGAACAGGTCCCCGCGGTGGGGAGGTTTGGCTCATCCTCACAGCCCAGGCACGTGGGAGCCAAAGATGCCCGTGTCTGCCAATGTGGCGCCCAAAGCTTGGCTTGTGTCCTTGGCAGGGCCAGGAGAAGTGGCTCCAGCTATGCCAAAAAGCTTGAGGCGTTGTGAACCTGTGAACGGTGCCGGGTGGGGGCTGGACCAGCTCTGCCTACCTCACCTCCAGGTCATCCCAGGCCCAACCCAGAGCTCCCACGGCCACATGCTGTCTAAGGCTGGAGGGAGGCTCCCTGGCTGCACCTGGCAGCGCCACCCTGGAGGGCAGCAGGCCTGGGGTCCCTGACAGAGCACCATGTGGATGACAGGGTGGGGAGCGAGCACAGCCGGGACCTGCCACGCACATGGTCCCCCAACCAAGACAATGCTGTGAGCTCCGAGGTGGGGATTCTGCCTCCCACGTCTTCATGACACCTGCACGGCCCCAAGCTGTGGCATGCCTGGCCATGACTCCCAAAGTCTGGGTGGCCTGGGGAGGGCAGAAGCCCAGAAAAGGACCCTGATTCTTAGGCCCCACAGGAAGAAGCAGGGCCTCACCAGGTGCCCAGGTTTGAGGCCCATTTCCAGCCTCTGTGGGCAGGACATGTGGCTGGGCAGCTCTGCCACCCGCTCTGGCCCCTTGGGGTGTTACCTGGCCAGGCTGTACCCATGCTGCAGGGAGGAAAACAGCAGGAGGGGCTGGCACAGGGCAAAGCGCTCGGGGACCCAGGACCAGATGTCTCTCATCTCCCTCACGCTGACGATCTCTGAGCGGAAGTTCTCTGCATGGACGGCCAAGTGTACAAACTGCCTGAGGGGAGCAAGCAGGGGTCAGAGCCCGAAGCCACGTACGGGGCCAGGCCATGTCTCCCAAGGTATGCCCCAGAGCCTCTTTGGAACTAAGCCCAGAGGGAACTTCTTGCCTGCTTGCCCCGGTTTAGGGCCGGGTTCTAGGTGCCCAACAGGGAGAAAGTTCCCAGGAGCCCCACCTCCCACCCGTTACAGAAGGGAGAGTGCCCAGCTTGGATGGGGACAAGGCACCTTTTCTCTAAGAAATCAGGACAGAGAATGACTGCTCTGGCAAGACAAGGCTTCGGGGTGAGCCAAGCACCAGGAGATAGCATGACAGAGGCAGACAGGCAGGGAGGCAGGCAGACGCACAGACAGAAGGCGCCTGAGCAGCAGTCCGGCTCAGAGGCAGCACTGCCGAAGCCGGCCCGTGAGAGCAGCCCTGGGACCCAGAGCATCAGCTGGCCTAGAGTCAGCCTGGTGGAAAGACAGAGGCCAGGTGTGCGGATGCAGTTTCAGACCTACCTTTTAGAAAGTGACACACTGAAAAACAGGAGAAAGCAACGGACATGGAGAAGAAAAATAAAACAGACAAGGAGAAGTTAGTGTGAGTACTGATCCCCCGACAGGCCTTTGCTGGCCCAGAAGAAAGAGGACTGCACGTCAACAGACCGCAGCGTGGCACCACCACAGCGCCGGCTGCCAAATGCACATAGGACACCATGAACCCCTGACCCTGCTCCCCCGGGGCTGTGCTCCAGGCAGGGAGGCCACGCTCAGCAACCACAGCAGAGACCAGCCATGGAGCCCAGAGCTGGAGGGGTGGAGCAGGGGCTGCCCTGAAATAACCCTGGGAGTGGGCCTGGCCTCCCACGATGCCTTCTGACCCCGTGGCCAGCATCAGCTTTCATCTCAGCCGTGGGCCTGGTCCCAGAGGATAGGAACCGATGTCCCTCGTCTGTGGCTGTAACTGGGAAGATCCTTCCTGTTTCAGTGTCTTTCCAGCCATGCACAGATGGGTGGGTGGACCATGGGCAGAGGCCGCCTGGAGGCCAGCAGGATGAGCTCATGCCGGACACGTCCTGCCCCAGCCCCCTACCCTGGGCGTGCCCCTCACTGGCTGCCGGGGACCTACCTCTTCTGCTTCACAGTGATGCCCTTCTGCTTCAGGGCTTTCTCGTTGGCCATCTGCAGGAGCTGGATCTCCTTGCGGGAGAAGAGGCGGATGGCGAACGCTTTCTCCAGCAGCTTCTCCGGGGACACTGTCTTGGCGATGTCTTTGACGAACGTGCGGATGTCCTGCTTCACGCTGTCCGACTCCAGGGGCTGCCCGGCCCTCACCTTGTGGAAGAACTTGAGAATGGCCAGCGCCACGCGGTACAGCACCTTGTAGCCCTCCACCAGAAAGACGTCAAAGACCCGGGCGAAGTAGCAGAGGGGCAGCTCCCCAAACAGCCAGCGCTGCCAGTCCGCATAGACCTGCAGGACGTCCTCTGACACGGCCACCATCAGCTTGTGGGCCGCCTGGCAGTACTTGTTCACCAGGTCCCCAAACGTCATGCAGGACGACTCAAAGGCCAGGAAGCTCTGGTCGATCAGCCTCCTGCCGGGGTCGTTGCAGGCCAGGATGCGGCAGGCCTTCTCGAAGCACTCGGCTTCGTCAATGCTGTAGTGCAGCAGCAGGGCCACCACGGCCGGCAGGGCGGGGCAGAAGGAGATGTCGGGGAACTGGTTGGCGATGCACAGGAGGATCTTGCGCACGGCCCCCTCACCGCGCGCATTCAGGCAGTAGCTGGGCACCTGCGTGTTGTCCACGAACTCGGGCAGCGGCAGGTAGCTGCTGCTGTGCTTGCCCACGATCTTGCCCACGATGTCGCTGTACACACTAGCGTCGGGCGTGACTGTGCGGCAGGGAATGTCCCGGATCAGGCGCTGGTACACCTTTCCCCGCAGGGCGTGGCTTTGGGCCCAGTAGCCCTGGCGCGCCAGCTGCTTCAGTTCCTGCAGTTCAGTGCAGCTCAGCTCCTTGGGCCCCAGGTCCTGGATGGCAGCGTCCATCTTGTCTCTGTCCACGAAGCAGTTGTATCCCGGAGAGTCCATAGCGCCACTGTGCTAGGGAGGAAGCCCTGGGCTGCAGGGAGGGGAGGACAGAGCGGCTAAATCCTCCAGCCCCCTTTCTGAGGGTTTTCAGCAAACCTGTCTGCCATCTCACACTCTGCAGGATGAAAAAAAACATTTTTTGCATCTGTGTTTCAAGGTTCACATTTCAAAGAATGTATTTTTTCAAATGTAGTGTTCTTTTCTTTTCTTTTCTTTTTTTTTTTTTTGAGACAGAGTCTC